AAACAACTTCCCACAGAAAGAAACACTAACCAAATTGCAATTAAATCCTGTGTGTGAAATCTGGACTAATAAAACTGCTAATCAAAGACACCTTTTCTTGGACTCTGTTGTAAGTAGCCATTCTGCAAATCGTCCCAAATGCAATGTTTTCTGATATTCACAAATCAAAAGTCACAATTAACCCAACAAATTGCTTTTTTGTAGATTATAACAAATTAGTCCCAAGTGCATTCTTGTTGCTTTAACTTTCCAAAATGATGTATCATTGTGTTACATTAATAATTTGGAATATCATAGCAAATGTTTCTTATTCTCATTGTCTGTTGATGGACAATAGGGAAAAATATCCTTTTGGCAAAGGGGAGAGCAGAGATGAAAACATAAGGTGATGTTCAAGTTTTATTATGTGAAGCAAAATAACCACTTTGTAACAAGTTGACTCTTTCTAATAAACACATTCACAGGAACTAGAGGCTAGCCTTTCTTCTTCAAAACATACATGACTACAAGTGTGTTCGTGTTATTGTATGAAGATGGACATTCACCTCAGCTTAACAGATAGCTTAACAGATCACTAAGACTTTAAATCATTTTAAAATAAAAAAATACAAGTGATATTAAAAACATCCTTCAAGCTCGGCAAAGAGTGCATTGATGTCTTTCAGCTGCTGCATTATTTCTTCTCTACATGTCCCAGACTTAAATTCTATTCCGTCTATTACAGTGCAATCTTCCTCATCTTCAGTGGAATCATTTAGTTCTGTCACTTCAGAATCCACTTCACTCCAATCAGGTAACTTTAAAAAAATGATATTTCTGTTTTCATATTCAGTTAAATTTCACAATGCCTTGAAATGTTTTTATACTCAAATCTGTGACAGTGGGATGCACACACGTTTTTTCATACAAGCAGCTGAGTAATTCCATTTGAAAAATGTATGTGTAAACATGGCATTTTGTTATAACAAATCTACAACTATTAAATAATGATCTTATGAACAAAATAACTGATGCCTAGGAACGATTACAAGATAGTAATTCCATTAGGGGGTTTCAAATGGCATCATAATCCATGACAGCAAACCTTGATTGGACAGTAATTGTCTTTCAAACTAAAAAATGAGATTACAGTTTTGTAATCACTCCAGGCTAGCTTTTTTTTTATTAAATGCATCTGATAAGCTCACATATGGTTGCTTATTCAGTTTTTGGTGCATTTTTGGCTGACAGAACTTCGTGGCATTAGTGGACACTCTAATATCTGCTCTAATAGTGGTATAATTACTGTAAATTTCATTAAGCATCAATTTACAATTCAAATCCATTGCGATCCAAACACAGCAATTTCTAATGGGATTTCTTCATGGTTCTGAGGGGCAAAGTGGGGAATCTTTCTGATAACCAGAAGTATCTCACGCCAACCCTTGGGTAATCCACTCCAGAAATGGATAGTGTCAGAGCAGATTTCCCGAAAGTCAGTATTACATACTTTCAATTACTGGAAGGACTCCCTGTTTATGACATTATTATGATTGTTATGCTTATTATTATAATATGTTTATGCTATTTTTCTATGTTTATTCATTATTATATGTTAAATATACATAAAACAATTCATATATTGGTTTTATTTTATGTAGGAAACATTGAAAGATGGGTTTTACTGTACTGTGCTGTTCTATTGTTACATCTGTACATACATTTTCTGTTTCCCATTCCAGTGTCCCTACGAGTCACCTTTTCCCATGCCTCCTTCAAGGTCTGTCTCAAGACCTTCCTCTTTGATCATACTATCGGTCATCTTCCCACCCCCACCCCTCTTGTCCCCCACCCATCTTAATCCAACCTCCAGGCAGGTGCAAACCCTCGACTGTCCAGGGCCTTGGGATGTCCACCTGACGTGAAAGGCACTATATAAATGCAATCTGTTTGTTGGTTATTGTTGTTCTCTCACCCCATCTATATCTCTCTTTAAATCTCATTATAAGACCTACCTCGCCTAACAAGCTTAAAATCAACCTCCCTATCCCCTTCTGTTTTGCTCGGCATCCTACAGTGTTCCAAGTTATGATCCTGTGTGAAGAGAGCTAAATAAATGCAAGTTTCTGTTGCTGTTTTTGAGTCTTGTAAGTGAATGTATTGATAAGCTGTTTGACTGCAGGGACCATCACAGCTGATAACAAACCTACCTTCACTTAACACCCATATGTCCCACCATTCAATGGGAATTTCTGGATTGTAATCAGCAGTAGAAAGTGTGATTAATTTTTCCTTCTCAAACTCAAAGCACCGAGGACAATTGTAGGATCCCAATTGCTGGCTTGACTGAGTCTGGCTTTGACTCAGCACAGTCTGCAACCTTGTCTGTATAACTTAATGCTGGAACAAGCCGTGTCTTTATTCACTAGGCCATTGAGTGAGCTTCAGCTGTGGTATATTCAATCTGACATTTAGTTAATTGAAGCTATTTGACTTCTGTATAAACAAAAACATTGCCCAATATTTGCATACCTTTAAGTACACAGTAGTTGTGAATGCAAGTATAATGTTCCCCAGCTCATGTTCCTCTCTCATCCATATTCAATTAAAATGAATTGGTTACTCATTGTCATTTGTGGGAAATTGCTGATGCAGATCGTCTGCTGTATTTGTCTGGAATACAACACTCAACAACAACAACAACTTGCATTTATATAGCGCTCTCACGCAGGGTAGCGTCCCAGAGCGCTTGACAGTGGCGGAGCATGGCTCATTTCATATTAACTCTTTCTGTTAAGCGCTAAGACCCTGAGACATGATATGGCCCTGTACAAGATCATGGCTGATCCACAACTCAATTCCACCTCCCCACCCTCTCTCCATATCCCTTGATACTCCTGTCTATCAAGTATTTATCGATTTCCCGTTAAATTTTTCAATTGACTGCCTCCACTGCCCTCTGGCGGAATGAATTGCCCACTCCCACCACCCACTGCATGAACAAATGTTTCCTTATTACACTTTTAAATGATTTTGCCTCCTGCTATGGTTGGGTGCAGGTTCGGTGGGTCTGAGGATAGGCAGGGAAGATTAAGGTCAAAACCACAGGTGAAGACACTGACGGAAGCCAAGGAGGATGGCCTCCATTTTTTCCATATTGAGCTTCAGGAAGTTAGCACTCATCCAGGCCTTGATGTCAGACAAGCAGGCAGCCAGAACATCAATAGGACTAGGGTCATGACTAGAGGAAAAAAATATAGATTTGAGTGTCATCCGCATATATGTGGAAGTTGACCCCATGTCTGTGGATGATATCACCGAGGGAGCATGGAAATAAAAAAAAGGAGGGAGAGAGCTTTGGGTACACCAAAGCGAAAAACTTGGGGGTGGGAGGAGAAACCATTAGAGAAGACGAAATGGTGGCAGTGGGTCAAGTAGAATTTGAACCAGGAGCAAGTAATCCCACTGAGGTGGATGAAGGAGGAGAGCAGTCAAGGAGAATGGCATGGTCCACTGTGTCAAATCCAGGTCCTAGAGGACAAGGAGGAAAAGGCATCGCTGGTTGCAGAGACAGGACATCATTTATAACCTTGATGAGCGCTGTCTTGGTGCTGTGAACAGGATGGAAACCAGACTGGAGTAGTTTGAGAAGGGTGTGGAAGGAAGATGTGAGCAAAGTTGGGTAACAACACATTCCAGATCTTTAGAAAGGAAGAGCAATTCACAGATCCACAAGGTACAAAGGGTTTATTCATTTATCTGGGCACTATTTCTACAACTAAAGAACTGTTTGACTCTTTGATCAAGCACATCAGGTCCAATTTAATCTTCAGATAAAAAATTAAATTGAGACTTCCCAATCTGTTTGGCTAATCAGATGAATTGCATTTTGAAAAAGTATGGCTTCTGGTAGTCAGTTATCACGTTACTTATTGTGGGATATTGCTGTTGCAAATTAATATACTATATAACAGTTCCCACACTTCAAAGAAATACACTGTTGTGTGACGCCTTCAATGTGGTAAGGCACAATATCCAATATAAGTAATATTATCTCTTGACAGATCTTGATGTTCATCAAGTTGAAAGATGCCATTGCTTATAAAAACTAAGCAATCTCAGGTCATGTTATCAAAGCCAAAATAAAGCTTGCCTTTTTTTTCCAGTAATGGAGCTTTTTTTATCAACTATCTACATTGGGTACTTTAATAGAGAAATTGTTTGTTCAGAGAGGGCAATTTATAAATGTGCAGGAACAATACAATTTGCCCAAATGCTAGGACACCCTGCTATTTGGAAAGTTTGATAAATCAGTCAGTGTGGAGTTACAGTTTAACATACAAGTAAGCGGGATACGAGTCCCTTGAGCCCTATAAGAAACAAACAGGCTGCCAATCGCAATGTATTCACCAGGAAATTTGGAGTCATGGTCCAGAAAAGGCAGAAAATAGCTAATTTGTCTAACACCAGGGATCATCTCTTCCGCACCGTCTCCTTATAATGCAGTGACCAGAACTATAATCAGTGCTATTAACAATACTCTAGGTGCAGCCTAACCAGAGCACGGGATAGCTTGAGTATGACATCTAGGGATCTAAATTCAACTGATTTGGCAATAATTTTTACTGAATTTACTGCAACAATTTCTGTAGATTTCCTATCTTCATGGCTTAAATATACACTGTAAATTATAATTTAGTGCAAGTGATAGCCAATAAAACTCAGGGAGAAAAGTGGCAGTATATTTTAGTCAACTAAGTGATTGTGAAAGGTACACACAAAAGCATGTTCACCTGGAGTGCACCTGATAATTTGCAGGATTTTACATGAAATTAATGGTACTTTTGAGAATGATTACATTAACCAAAGGATTCTACAACAAGTGTTCTGATAGACTGATTTCTGCTGAACCCCATTAAACAGGGAATTGACTAAATTGGAGGCACTTATTAGGGTTAAATGCTAACTCTGATCATACCTTTTTTTGATGGATTTGCTTTGTGATGCTTCCTCGTTTTTCCAATGTAAGTGAACAAGTACTGTTGTCAGATTGTGAAATCTGCGTCAGCAATTCGTCCAAATCCTGCATTAAATCCTCTGCCTGTGAAACATCTTATGAAATACAGGTTACCTTCAGTTTAAAGTTACATTGCTGTCTTTGAGTCTGTATGATGGTGGAGAAGTGAGGATATATTAAAGCACATGGGTAATGCAAAACAAATCATTCTAATATAATATATATGTTTATGAAGGGAATAGATATGAGTTGCAAGTGCATGGTTTGGAGAATGTAATTGTTAGACATAGTAACTGACCATTTTTTTAAAAAGAAATTCAAAATGGTTTTATAAAAAGAAATTACTTGTTATTGAATATAGTTTCCTGTATCTCCATAGACAAATAGTAAATTTGCTCACCATTTTGATTTAAAGCATATTTAAAGAGCATCTCAGTTCATATTCTATATTTCACCAATATCTTTACAATTGCAATTTGCTGATGTTTTAAGTTGCAGAAAATTATGTACAATACGTTATCCTTATGTTAAACTAGCTGACATAGCAGAATTAAATAAGGTTCTACAATTCCTATCACCAAAAAATGTAATCCAGAATTGTAATAAAAAGTCTTAGACGCAATAAATAGTGACAGATTGAACCATTAAAATTAGATTCAAACTGTTTTTAATGAATATCAAGTTTAGATAGTCTACATGTGGTTGTAGCCATTTGCTCAGTTCTTGTGGGAAAGTATAAATGAACATTGGATTTATGAGCATGGCAGTGGCAGTGCACTGGAAGCAATGTTTAAGGAAGAAGCAATTTGTCTTGGGAATAGTTGGGTTGGGAGAAATAGGCCCTCCTATCCATCTTAAACAGTGGTCCCACCAGTTGGGATTTCTGTGCTTTCTAAGCTTCAACTGTTGTTGTTGGCTTTACTCTCCTCTTGCATTAGCTTGCTTTCTCCGTGTGAGGGTAATTTGGCACTTTGTGTTCAGTGAGATTCTAGGAATGAGTCCAAGCCTGTCTGGTTAGTTCCCCAGTTCCAGCCAGAGGCTATTTCCCCAGTTCCATCATTTGTTTTCGTTAGTTTCTGACCCATAGGCGTTAGACACCTAAGCTTGAATGATCTTCAACAACTTAATTTTACTGCTGGATGCCTGATTTATACTCACAATCACTCAAAGTTTATACCACATTAAACTTTTCTCGCAGCAATTTGGCAGAAAATGGTAATAAATTGCATTAAAATAGTACAGTGCATCCTGCTTAATTACGTATCAACAACAACAACAAGATTCCATTTATAGAGCGCCTTTCACGTCGGGAGGATGTCCCAAGGCGCTGTACAGTTGGGTCAGGACCCGAGCAGGGGGGAAATGGTCAGGGTGAGGGGAGGGAAGGGAGGGAGCGAGGAGGGGGTAGAGAGTTGAGAGGGGAGCTGAAGGCTCGGTCAAAGAGAAAAGTCTTGAGACCGGCCTTGAAGGAGGAAAGGGAGGAGGCGGCGAAGGCACTGGGGGATAGAGTTCCAGAGCCTGGGGGCTGAGAGGCTGAAGGCCCGACCACCGATGGTAGGGCGGTTGGGGCGGGGGATGTGGAGCAGACCGGAGCCAGAGGAACGGAGGGTACGGGCGGGTAGGTAAGGGGATAGTAGGTCAGAGAGGTAGGAGGGAGCAAGGCCGTGAATGGCCTTGTAGGTGAGGATGAGGATCTTGAATTCGATCCTCTGGGGGATGGGGAGCCAGTGGAGGCGAGCGAGGGTGGGAGTGATGTGATCGCGAAGCCTGGTGCGGGACAGTACACGAGCTGCAGAGTTCTGAATGACCTGCAGCTTGTGGAGGGAGATGCCGGGAAGGCCGGCGAGGAGAGAGTTCCCATAGTCCATCCTTAATAATAATCCTTGCATTTGATATAGCGCTTTTCACGTCGAGAGGACGTCCCAAAGCGCTTCACAGAACACACTGTAAAGTGAATTGACTGTATATTTGTGGGCGAACGCGGCAGCCAATTGCGCACAGCAATGTCCCACAAACAGTCGTGGATTGAAAATGACCAATTTATTATTGTTTTTGGTTTTTGGAGGGATTATTATTAGGGTTGTGTGTGGAGTAAGGAAACTTGCCCAAGGTTTCGCCCTCTGCCTGGAATTGAACTCAGGTCTCTCACTTGCAAAGCGAGTGCTCTAACCACTGAGCTACAGGACTCCACTGAGGTCATAAAGGCGTGGACCAGAGTTTCAGCAGCTTGAGGGGTGAGGTAGTGCCGTAGTCTGGCGATATTCCGGAGGTATCGGATAATTTCATACTCCATTTAAATGCACAGCAATTATTGGGTACTAAAACTTTGTTCACTATTTCTTTGCATGGTACTGCACTTGGTCAAATGCATATCAGATAATTGCATAATTTGCTTAATCGCATGAAAGATAGCCAGTCTATTTCATGTGTACCTGCATAATTAGCTTAGTTGATCGCATTAGTTTAGGAGTTGATGGTGGGAAGTGTATGTTTGGTGGAGAGTGATGGAAAGGGAGCCGGAGTGGGACGTTTGAAGAGAGACAACGCGGAGAGCCACAGCAGAGGCAGTATGGAGAATGACAGTGGTGTTACTAATAAACTTTGGGTAAATGCATATTCCAAATAATTTAACTGGCATCTGTCCGGTTCCAACTCCATGCAATTATACGGAGAGCACTGTACCTTTTATGGGGGATTTTTCTTCGATTTTTCGAGAAACGTCTTGGCCCCATAAATATCAATTAGATGCCTTTCTGAAACCATCACAAATGTTCAAAGCAGAACTTGGCTTATTACCAGAAACAGTCACTGGAATTTGGGTCAGATCTTGAAAAATACACTTCATTAAGATTTTATCAATGCACACATGCACAGCTAAAACATATGCAACATTATTGAGAAGCAGCTTCTCTTACGCAAGTGGAAGCTGATCAGTCAGACCAAACACCAGCGTCAGGAGAAAAATGACCTGTGGGATGGTATGAGAAAGGGAACATATGGTCCAATGTGCCTGCCATTCAGTTGTGTAACTTAACCTGCCAATTGCACACACATAATAAATGAAAAATATGCTTCTTCTCTGTTGGATGCAACAACAACAACAAAATTACATTTGTATATTGCCTTTCACATCGGGAGGACTTCCCAAGGTGCTGAACAGACAGAATTACGGACCCGAGCTGGGGTTTGGGGTGGGGGAGAGTGGAGGGCAGGGGGGAAGCAGGGAGATCGAAAGCACAGTCAAAGAGGAGGGTTTTGAGGTGGGTCTTGAAGGTGGTGAGGGAGGGAGCGAGATGGAGGGAATGCGGGATGGAGTTCCAGAGGGTGTGTGCAGAATGGCGGAAGGCCCGCCCGCCGATAGTGGGGCAAGTAAGGCGGGGGACGTGAAGCAGGCCGGAGCCCGCTGAGCGGAGGGAGCGAACAGGGTGGTAGGGGGTTAGGAGGTCGCAGAGGTAGGGGAAGCAAGACAGTGGAGGGTTTTGAAGGTGAGGACCGGGATCTTGAACTGTATCCCCTCTGTGATGGGAAGCCAGTAGAGTCAGGCAAGGATGGGGGTATTAGGGTCACAGAGTCTAGTGTGGGAAAGGACACGGGCTGCAGAATTCTGGATGATCTGCAGCCTGTGGACGGAGGAGTTGGGGAGGCCGACAAGCAATGAGTTTGCATAGTCAAGCCTCGATGTAATGAAGGCGTGTATGAGCGTTTCGGCGTCCTGCAACAACAGAAAGCTAATGCATAATATATATAGAGAGAGACACTGATAGCACTAAAATAGAAATTAAAATAATTCTCCATTAAAATGTTATCAGAGATCATGGTACAAATTGAATGTCATTTCTAAAGTATTGATTTTTTGTATTACATTCTGCGGTAATAAATCATTAATGGTTTATTTCAATACTGAAGCAACATGTGAAGCCAAGGTGAGCTGAGTTTTCTATCTTTCCTGCCCCATAAAAGATGTGATGTATAGTCTGATGTATCAGAGAGGAATGGAGAAGGAAATATGCAGTCAAAAATAAATCTCTTTCAGGACTTACCTTATTTATCCTTATCAAGTGCAAGGATTATTATTATTTATGCTCTGCATGTTTGGCAGTGAATCACCAAATTTGGCAGTAATTTGCTGCTAAATGTGCAGAATAGGGGTTGCGATCCCATTTATCTTCGTGAATTGTAACAAAGCCCCTTTCTGTGCAATTGGCTGCCGCATTTTGCCCACAAATATACAGTCAATTCACCTTACAGTCTATTCTGTAAAGCGCTTTGAGATGTCTAGAAGACGTGAAAAGCGTTACATCAAATGCAAGGATTATTATTATTATTTCTTGAACAAGTGCAGGAGATGATTTCTGAAATATTCCAAGATACAACTGTGCTGTATAAATGTGACAGGCCAGAAATTACAGTGGAGCTCACAGTGCTCAATGTAAAGCTCTCCACTGGCCATCCCAAAAAATGTGAACAGATTGTTTTTAATGTTATTAAAGAAATAACAACAACAATAACATATATTTATATAGCTCTCCTCACACAATGTAGTGTCACAGAGCTCTTGACAGTAGAGGGGCACAAAGCCGAGCCGAGGGGAGGGGGAGGTGACCGTAGCACGGATGAACAGGAAGGTCTTCAGGCGCAAGCTGAAGATGAGGAAGGAAGGGGCAAGGTGGGAGGATAGAGGAAGAGTGTTCCAGAGTTTAGTGGCATAGTGGCTGAAAGTGTGGCCACCAATGTACATGCAGAAGTTGAGCGGAAGCAGTGGGTTGTAGGTTGGGAGTAAGCAGGTTGGAAAGGTAGGGAGGTGCTAGGGCATGAAGGGATTTGAAAATGAATGTGAGGATCTTGAAATCGATTAGTGCATGTGGCACTGAAATTGGGTTTGTACTTTTTGCTCCAAACTGAAGTACTGTATTGGGGAACAGGAAGTACCAATTGGATTTCCCATAACACTGCTGCATGCTGTTATACATGCTTCATTTAAGTAATGACATTGTAAGAGATATAGTAAGAACACCCAGCAGCTCACAGTAACAAATTAAAATCAATATTAAAAAAATGAGTTTTGTTCAGTGAACTGCACCATTGCCAAATTGATTTGTAGATATTAGTCAATATAATTAATGTGCAATTAATATAAATTATAGGAAACCTAGAGAGAGGATAAATAAAAACAATAACCAGTTACCTTTTCTAAAATCATAGAAATCTATACATACGTACCCTTAGGTTTTCTTCCCAATACCTCATCTACTTCATCTATTGGCAAAGATGTTTCTGTATCAATTTTAGTTTTTCTAAACATACAAAAACAACACAATTTCAATACAATGTTTATTTTTTACATCTTAAGGAGTGTAAAACAAGGTTCGATTAGAAATATCACAGATTATTTCAACTTTATACTCAAACTTGAAGTCTTCTTGCAGTTAATCATCCCTTGAATAATCCTTTTTTAAAAAAAATTGTTCACTCAATCCACGAATGTTTGTAGGACACTGCTGGGCACAATCGACTCTTGACTAAGTAATAAGATGTTATTTCAAATGCAAGGATTATTATTATTTAGTTCTTTTAATCCAGATACTCCTATGCTCTGAACCATTCCAAAACAGATCGACTGCCGTTGTTTCACCACCAAGGGGCATTCATGTGTACTAAAAGAGAATTTGGGAGGAACTATTTCATGCAGAGGGTAGTGAGATTGTGGAACACGCTGTCTGAAGTGGCCAGTTTCCATGCTGTATATTACTGTGTATGTGCACCAAAAATAAGCATTGTTGGATCTAGTGAATGATTCCCCCCAAAAAAACATAATGTTCTGCATAAGGCAGCAAGAAAATTGATGTGATGTGTCAATTACCACATCATTGATACGTGTGGTCACTGAGGAAGGTTGATAGCCCTGCTGCTGACCATAAATACCCTGTTACATAAATTTATGTACATTTTCATTTCCCCTCAGCTCAGCATGCATAATTCAGACCTGAAATACAGGCAGCCTATTTGAAACAAGGAAGGGTATTTTCGCCTGATGTCATGGCCAAAAATCCTCCAGTTAAAATTAATCTTCCACTTTATGGCTACTTGTGGGACATTGCTGTGCACAAATTGGCTGCCACACTTGCCTACAAAGAATAGACAGTAACTACACTTTACAGTAAATTCTGCAAAGTGCTTCAAGATATTATTACACTAAAAAGTTCACTATCATGAGATCCAGTTAGTTCTTCTGATTTTTTGGTTTGGGACTTATCTCACTAATCAGTACTCCAATCTCCCATTCTGCAGCCTGGGATTGCAATATCACCTATAGATAATTTTGTTGGGTGAGACCACACTTGTGACTCTCCTTTAATTATCAACTGGCCGCAATAATAGTAGTAATAATAATAATCCTTGCATTTGATATAGCGCCTTATCACATCTTTGAGATGTCTCAACCGCATCACGGAATATACTGTAAAGTGAATTGACTGCAGGCAAAACTTGGCAGCCAATTACGCACAGCAGTTTCCCACAAATAGTCATGGATTGAGTGACCAAATTATTCAATTTTACAATTTGTTTTTTTGAAGGGATTATTACCCCGGAAAAGCGATCCACCAATTGACTAACAACTGGGTTCCTACTTACTGCTAGGTAAACAGAGACGTGTGGACTAAGGAAATTTGCCTAACGTTTTGCCCTGCCCGGGAATTGAGCCCAGGTCCTCTCGCTTGCGAGGCAAGTGCTCCAACCACTAAACTCCAGGACTCCACACCACATGCATCAGTGATGTGATAATAGATACATTCACAGGCTGCAATTTTCACCTCACCATAAAATTTCTTTATTCCTTGCTGGTTAATGTAGAAGTCCTCTGTGAACATTGTGTTGTTCATTTTGGATTGTTGAGCTTCAGATTGTCTCCTAGGCCAGTACAAATTGCCAGAGCCCTTTAATGGAGTGGCTTCATGAAAAGCATACAAAACAATCTCTTCCTGACGTCACTTAGCAATTCCGAAAAGGAGACTAAAAAAATGCTGGTCTCCATTAACTTCATAAAGTGGTGGTATTTTAATGCATGTACTTACAAAACAATAATAGTATTAATACTTGTACTGTTTTCAAATGCATGGTATTCTGACATAGGCACCCTGGGGAGTTCCTAGACCATGCAGTACATCATTTAGGTCTACTGGTTTAAAATGTTCTAAATATGGGATCAAAAATGTGGTATTCTTTAAACTCATTCTGTTCCCTAATTAAGGAACGGGGGAACAGAAAACTGCAGGATGTTGACATCATCAGTGATAACTATCACAGGGCAGAATATGCGGTTATTGTGTTCTGTGCTTAACGACAGTTTGGAACTGAACTTCTTATTCCCACTGTAATTTCTCCCTCCAGGTTGGAGACAATTCAAAATAGCATCGTCCTTGTTATTTCTTGGCAACAATCACTAAAACTATTGTTCTTGATTGAGTATGCCTTTTAATTTTTCTCTCTAAGTCGTGATTTTAAACCAGATCTCATTAAAGCAGAGTTGAATCACTGTTTCCACTCATGGGAATCATCTCAGACGACTGATCTGCTTGACCCTCCAACTAGTAGCAACCATTTACTAACGTTACTACATTTCCACTGTTATGCTATATTCTTGTGAAGATTCTCATATTTAATGACAAATTGCACAATAGAAAAAACTCAAACATCCCACAGATCCCTTAACCAAAATTTATGTTTTCAACCAAGATTCAGAAATTCATGGGTCCCAAGGTTAATATAAACTTTTGCAGCCATAAACAAATTAAAGAATTTAACATGGGCAAGAAAGAACATGGCTTTATAATTACTGTACATAACCAACCATAAATCTAGCATCATGTATTGTAACCTACCTTTTTAATCCTCCCGGTGTAGTTCTGCTTACTGCTCTTCTCAATTCCTTTCAATGATCAAAAGAAGAAGTTAACCTTTTCATGCCAGACCCATTCTTCCCAGTATAAACTGAAATTGAAGATCAATTAGCTCTCACTTACAAGATTATTTTTTTCTTGGGTCATTCTCTTTCTTTTCTTGTCTTCTCTGTTCTTTTCATGGGGTAACTTCTTCCATATTCCTATTAAAAAATATCAACTGTTATGATATTTATGATATATATGAGTGTATTTCTTTCTTTCTGGGTATTATATAAAAATAGTGATAATGCTAGCCTCATCATCCTCCTGTTGCTGACACCGTTGCTGTTCCTGGGAGGTCACTACTCAGTGCTGGAAGTAAGGATGGCCATTTGCATTGTGTATCGGCAGGACCTTTGAACCTTTTTTTTTATTGTTGTTCCTACAGAAATAATGGTGGCAGAGTCAGGAAAAAAGGCTTGCAGAAAAGTTGACTTTTGAGAGTCAATTGTTAGCACTCTTGTCCTTGAGTCACAAAGTTGTCGGTTCAAGCCCGACATTGGGAATTTCAGCTCACAGTCTCGGCTGACACTCCAATGTAGTGTTGGGGGAGCACTGCATTGTCAGAGGTGTTGTTTTTCGGATGAGACATTGAAATGAGTTGCTATTTGGCTGTTTAGATGGACGTTAAAGATACCATCGCACTATTTAAAAAGAGAAGGGAGTTTCTCCTGGTATCCACACCAGAAATACCCCAGATAAAATGAGTCACTGACCTCATGGCTGTTTGTGGGACATTGCTGTGCTTAAATTGCATGCTGCATTCACCTATAAAATATACAGTCACTATACCTTATAGAAAATTTTGTGAAAAGCTTTGAAATGTCCTCTCAATGAAAGGTGTCAACAAATGCAAGCAACATGATATCTATACAGTTACTAGGTTATGCTTGAAGGCTCAGTTAAGCGACAACAACAACAAAATTACATATGTATAGCGCCTTTCACGTCAGAAGGACGTCCCAAGGCGCTGGACAAACAGAGTTACAGACCCGAGCTGAGGGTCGGGGTGGGGGAAGGGGAAGGGCAGGGGGGAAGCAGGGAGATGGAAAGCACGGTCGAAGAGGAGGGTCTTGAGGTGGGTCTTGAAGGTGGCAAGGGAGGGGGCGAGATGGAGGGATTGCAGGATGGAGTTCCAGAGGGTGTGTGCAGAATGGCGGAAGGCTCGCCCGCCGATAGTGGAGCAAGCAAGGCGGGGGACGTGAAGCAGGCCGGAGGCCGCTGAGCGGAGGGAGCGAACAGGGTAGTAGGGGGTTAGGAGGTCGCAGAGGTAGTGGGGAGCAAGACCATGGAGGGCTTTGAAGGTGATGACCAGGATCTTGAACTGTATCCTATGTGTGATGGGAAGCCAGTGGAGTTGGGCAAGGATGGGGGTGATAGGGACACAGAGTCGAGTACGGGAGAGGACATGGGCTGCAGAGTCCTGGATGATTTGCAGCCTATGGGGAGAAGTTGGGGAGGCCGACAAGCAGTGAGTTTGCATAGTTGAGCCTCGATGTAATGAAAGCATGTATAAGGGTTTCGGTGGCCTGTGGTGTGAGACAGTGTCGGAGCCGGGCGACTTTGCGGATGTGGGGGAAGGCAGAGCGGGTCATGGTGCAAATGTGAGGTAGAAAGGATAGTTGAGGGTCAAACAAGACCCCAAGGTTCCGGACTGGCTTAGTAAGGTGGAGTGTGCAACCATGGACAGTGATGCTGTCAGCGCCTGAGGTGAGGAGGCGCTGACGGGAGCCAATCAGGAGAGCCTCGGTCTTGTTGACGTTCAACTGAAGAAACTTAGCTCTCATCCAGGACTTGATGTCTGACAGACATTCTGTCAGGACAGCAGTGGTCCTGGAGTCAAGGGTGGAGGCAGAGAGGTAGAGTTGGATGTCATCCACATACATGTGGAAGTTGACCACCGATGATGTCACCAAGAGGGGGCATATAGATGTTGAAGAGGAGGGGACCAAGGACAGAGCCCTGAGGAACACTGGATGGTCTGGGGGCTAGAGGGGAAGCCGATTGAGGAGACGCAGGCGGTGTCAGAGGTATGATCTGAACCAATCATGGACAGTGCCATGAAGTTGCGGTGAGAGGAGAGGTGGTGGATGAGTATAGAGTGGTCGATGGTGTCAAAAGTAACAGCCAGGTCAAGGAGGACGAGAAGGCAGAGGGAGCCCTGGTCGCAGATGGACAGAATGTCATTTGTCACTTTGACCAGGGCAGTTTCTGTGCTGTGGGTGGCACGGAAGTCCGATTGGAGGGGTTCGAGGGTGGGAGAGGAGGAGTGAAGCTGAGAAGCAACAATCGTTCCAGGACCTTGGAGAGGTAGGGGAGGTTGGAGATGGAGCGGTAGTTAGGGAATAGAGAAGGGTCCAGAGAAGGTTTTTTCAGGATAGGAGTGATGACAATGTTTTTTTTTAAAGGGGTGAGAACAGTACCAGAGAACAGTGTGAGGTTAACAATGTCAGTGAGTAGAGGGGCAAGGAGGTGGAGCTGGGAAGTAAAGAGGGGGGTAGGGATGGGGTCGAGGGAGCAGGTGGTGGGTTTCATGCGGGTTATGGTGGTGATGAGAGAGGAGGGGGAGACAGGTTCAAAGGTGTGGAGAGAGGGAAGGGTAGGGGCCAGGGCAGGAGGGGGAGATGGGGAGAGGGTAGCAGATGCAGTGACAGAGGCAGCTGAGCGGATTCCCTCAACTTTGGATTCGAGGAAGTCCAGCATCGTCTCGCAGTTGGCATTTGAGGTGAGGATGGGTGAGGCGTGAGAGAGTGGGCAGAGGAGCCGGTTCATGATGGAGAAGAGGAGCTTGGGGTTGTCCTTAGCCTCCAAGATTGTCTTAGAGTAGAACGACGATTTAGCGGAGGCGAGAGCGGAGCAGTAGGATTTGACATGGACAGGAAGGGCAGAAGGAATTGGGCCGAATGACCAGTTGGGCCGAATGGCCTGTTTCTGTGCTATACATTGTAATGTATTCTACTGTATTCTAATGTAGCAGAGCCCAGGAGATGCATATCAAGTAACTTTGCTTCTGATAATAATAATAATAATCCTTGCATTTGATTATTATTATCAGAAGCAAACTTTGCTTCTGATCTTCATCAGCTGTATTATTTCTGTAGCAGCAATCAGAAAAAAGAAGTCTCAAAGGTCCTACATATATACAATGTAAATGTGTGTCTACTTCCACCACTTTCACCTACAAGGCCATTCACGGCCTTGCTCCCTCCTACCTCTCCAACCTACTATCCCCCTACCTACCTGCCCGTACCCTCCGTTCCTCTGGCTCCGGTCTGCTCCACGTCCCCCGCCCCAACCGCCCTACCATCGGTGGCCGGGCCTTCAGCCTCTCAGCCCCCAGGCTCTGGAACTCCATCCCCCAGTGCCTTCGCCGCCTCCTTCCTTTCCTCCTTCAAGGCCGGTCTCAAAACCTTTCTCTTTGACCGAGCCTTCAGCTCCCCTCTCGACTCTCTTCCCCCTCCTCGCTCCCTCCCTTCCCTCCCCTCACCCTGACCATTTCCCCCCTCCTCGCTCCCTCCCTTCCCTCCCCCTGACCATTTCCCCCTGCTCGGGTCCTGACCCAACTGTGCAGCGCCTTGGGACGTCCTCCTGACGTGAAAGGCGCTTTATAAATGGAATCTTGTTGTTGTTGTTGTTGTTGAACATCAACAAGACCGAGGCTCTCCTGCTTGGCTCCCGTCAGCACCTCCTCACCTCAGGTGCTGACAGCATCACCATCCATGGTTGCACACTCCACCTTACTAAGCCGGTCCGGAACCTTGGCATCTTGTTTGACCCTCAACTATCCTTTCTACCTCACATCTGTGCTATGACCCACTCTGCCTTCCCCCACCTCCGCAACATCACCCAGCTCCACCACTGTCTCACACTGCAGGCCGCCGAGACCCTCAAACACACATTCATAACATCCATGCTTGTCTATGCAAACTCTTTGCTTGTCGGCCTCCCCAACTCCTCCCTCCATAGGCTGCAGATCATTCAGAACTCTGCAGCCCGTGTCCTCTCCTGCACCAGGCTCCGTGACCCTATCAACCCCATCCTCAACCGACTCCACTGTTCCATCACACAAAGGATACAGTACAAGATCCTGGTCCTCACCTTCAAAGCCCTCCATAGCCTTGCTACCCGCTACCTCTGTGACCTCCTAACCCCTACCATCCTGCCCGCTCCCTCCGCTCAGCGGGCTCCGGCCTGCTTCATGTCCCCCACCTCGCCCGCCCAAACATTGGCGGGCAAGCTTTCTGCCACTCTGCCCCCACCCTCTAGAACTCCAACCCGCAGTCCCTCCTCCTCACCCCCTCCCTTGCCTCCTTCAAGATCCATCTCAAGACCTTCCTCTTCGACTGTGCTTTCGATCACCTTGCATCCCCCCTATGCCCTCCACGCTCCCCAATCCTGACCCCCAGCTCGGGTCCGAAACACTGGCTGTACAGTGCCTTGGGACGTCCTGCTGACATGAAAGGTACAGCCTCAGACAATGATGTTTATGTTTTACAGGACTTTACTCTTCGACTATGGCTTCAGTCACCTCCCTTCTCTTTCCAGCTCGGCATCAAACCACATTGCTGTTAAGTACTCCGAGAAGCATAAAGGGCGCTATATAAGTTCATGTTGTCATTGTTGTATATTTTCATTTCAGTCTTCCTGTAACTTACATAACCTACTAGTGGGTGAACAATCCAACGCTTGGTGAACTCTGCTTCACAGTGTTAGGAAGAGTCAATATCGAAGTATCAAAAAGGTGACATCAATATGAATGCTTGGCCGCCACAAGCAAGTTATCCCTGTGGTAAGTTTTCTGACACCTCCTGCTTAGAAGCCAAAAATCCGGAAGGATGATAAAGCCATACTTTCACTGTTTGTATTCATACTGAATATTAAGATTAAGCAAACTTTTGCTTTTCTGTTCCACAGGAGCAGAATTACTGGCAAAACAGTACAGAAAATCCCAAATAAAATCTCAATTAATAAATAATCAAACTTAATTGATGAATATCAAAGCAATTTGGAATATACCTTCATGAGTCAACTGGCACTGACCAAGTCTTTCTTTAGAATTGATTCCCGCCAACATTTTTGCTTCTTCAATTGCACTTTCATACAATTTTTTTCTTTTGTTGAAATCTTCAGACTGTAAAACATAAAGGATTCAGTACAAAGATCATACCAATTCATCATGTTACAACTGAATCCACCAACAACATAAATCTGTGGCACCCTAATCAAATCAGAGGAAAATGGAATTAAACAATTGAACTATTTAAAATATCTAAAACAAGAGATAGAAATCAAATCAAAATCATATGGCAATATTGCAGTGTTTTGGATGCAATAATTCAACAACAACTTGCATTTATATTACACCCTTCACGGGGGTTTGTGAAGCTCTTGTTCAACAATGAAACTGATCAGTCTACAAGCGTTTGGAGTTTGGATTTTGTACATGGTCAATTGACTCTGCAGTATGTTCTGTGAAGCGCTTAGAGACATCTCGACAGTGTGATAAGGCGGTATATCAAATAATAATAATAATAATCTTTGCATTTGATATAGCGCTTTTCATGTCTTCTAGATGTCTCAAAGCGCTTCACAGAATATGCTGTAAAGTGAATTGACTGTATATGTGTGGGCGAAACGCGGCAGCCAATTGCGCAGAGCAGTGTCCCCCAAACAGTCGTGGATTGAAAATGACCAATTTTTTGTTGTTTTTGTTTTTTTGGAGGGATTATTATTAGGCGTGTGGAGTAAGAAAACTTGCCCAAGGTTTCGCCCTGCCTGGAATTGAACCCAGGTGTCTCACTTGCAAGGCGAGTGCTCTAACCACTGAGCTCAAGGATTGTTTTATTATTATTGCATATTCTCACTTTGACTGAAGATGAAAGCCTTTCAGTAGGAGAATGGCGAGGAATTTAAGCAAAAATGTAGAAAATTGTGGGCCTTCTGTGCACTAATGAAAGAAAAGGAATGAAAACTGGCATTCCACTTATATACTCAATTTCATTTCCTTTTTTCCAGTCATTTCCACAAGTGGTGTTTGTTGATTAAAATATTTTGGTCAAATCCATGAATGTAACAAATGGAAACCCAAATAAGAAAAACTGATGAAAGAAGAATGGTCAGTTTCTTTACTAATCTTACATTAGCAAATCCATATAACAGCATTTCCAGCTGTCACTATTCAAATTTATGAATGACACAGGGAATTGGAGTTATTTATTAACAATTTATCAACAAAACAGATTAGTTTTGTGCACACAAAATCATTCATGCTGTGAAGTAAAATTCACTGTACCGAAAATGGGGGTTGCAATTGTAACGTTATTTTTAAAGTGTCAGAAAACCAATACTTTTCACTTCAAACTGTTTATTATTTTGAATGTTTATTTTCTATTATTTATTTATCCATAAGCTTTAGCAAAGCCCTGGGATCTCTCCATTCTGAGAAGTGATGATGGAATTTATCTTTATTTGCACCCAAGGTAAAATTACGAAGCTGCACATTTCTGTGAAATATTAAAGTAAATATTTATTACCTGAAGGATATATTACCATTTATTGCTCTCCAATGTGTTCCCTCTATCGAAACATTGAGATAGGAGTGGACCATTCAGCCCCTCAAGCCTGGTCCGCCATTCTATAAGATCATATCTAATCTGTACGTCAAGTCCAATTACCCGCTCTTGCCCCGTATCTCCCCGTATTAAAAAACTCAGTCAGATCACCCCTCAACCTTCTAAACTCAAGGGAATAGAGACTAAGTTTATGAAACGGTGCAGTGCCCAAAACTGAACACAGTCTCCAGATGGAGTTGACCAAGGCTTTATATAATTCAAGCATCATTTCCTCTACTTTATAAGCCAACCCCCGTTGAGATAAAGGCCAACATCCCATTAGCCTTTTTGATAACATTTTGTATCTGTGAGCTTGTGTTTAGTGATTTGTGTACGTGGATACCCAAATCTCTTTGCTCTTCCACAATTCTTAGCTTCTCACCATTTAAAAAATATTCTGTTTTCCTATTTTTGGATCCATAATGGATGATCTCACACTTCCCCACATTGAATTCCATCTGCCACAGTTTTGCCCACTCACTTAATCTACCTACGTCCCTCCAGATGGGATTTGACCAAGATGTGAATGGATCAGAACAGTCAAAGTCACTGTACTCATGCACAGTATGGTTCCAAGGTCACAAGACATTTTCTGGGGTACTTTGTCACACAGCTTTATGTGAGCTTTTGCAGACTCCCCTGGCTCCTAGACCCCACTGGGATCTTTAAGATGATTATTCTTCCCTTCAATGCCTTCACAGTCTCTCCTTCCGTATCTGTGTAATTTGTCCCAGGCATATTCTCCTGTTTATACTTTGTTCTTTTGATTTACATTGAAATCACTCGCTCCTTCACTGTTGGCTGAATGTTCAGCTTTTGGAACTCTTTTCCAAAATCTCTTCATCCTACTCTCACTTTAGTGTATCAGCCTGGCTCAATGGTAGCACTCTCTCCTCTAAGTCAGAAGGTTTAAACCACAAGTGAGGACCTGAACTTAAATCGTCTAAGATGATGCTGAAATGCATGGCTGACAGGGTGTTGCATTGTCAGAGGTGCCATTCTTCAGATGAGAAATTCAACCAAGGTCCCATCTGCATTTTCAGGCAGACGTTAAAGATCCCGTAACACTATTTGACAAGAGAAGGGAGAATCTCCCGATGTCCTCACCAACAATATCTCAAAGAAAATGTGGGCATTCACTTCATGACTGTTTATTGGTCATTGCTGTGCAACAAATACACAGTCACTCCACTTCACAGTAAATCATGTGAAGCACTTTGGGGCATTCTCCCGTCTTGAAAGATGCTATACCAAATGCAAGAATTATTATTATTACTTTATATCATTCTACCATGAAACCCCTCTTTCAAACCCTAATTTTCATGAGTGTCCATCTTATATATGCTTTTCAATCATATATTACATAAATAAAACTGTGTATATTCATGTTCAGAGGAAAAAGGTGAATCAGGCCATTTGATTTTATGTTTCTGGAATACCCACCCTACCTTCTCTCTATTACAGCAACCAATTCTTTCTTAAAATATGTTTATTGCCCTGACCTCTCAAACACCCATCCTGGTAATCTATTCCAGCTGTTTATTACCTTCTCTGTACAGAAATACCCTCTGTCTTAAAAATTAAACCTTCTTAAATCTTCTGTTGTAAAATTGCTTTTCCTTCCTCTGAAACCCATGCCCTCTTGTCGATCACCTTGAAAAATCTAAAAATGTTGTTTTATGTTTACCTTTGTAATCCTATTTAATATCTTATATATCTCTATTAGGTCCCCTCTGAGACGTTCAAGGTCAAGAACCCCAGCTTATCTAGTCAATCTTCCAAGTTCATCCCTCTAATACTAGGGATCAGCTTTGTTCCTGATGAATGATGCTGCCTTAATATATAAATACCTTGGGCTATTGCTACATGTTTGTTTGTAATACTACTGTCAGTATCATAGTCATCTGACTACAATATAACAGTTTAAGGCTATTTGCAGGTACAACAGCACAGATTATGTTTGAAATAATTAGAAAATATTTATTGTTTGCAGTATTCCTTTAACACTCGGCTTTACTCCATGTACATACAGGCACATATAAAATCTATATGTTTTGATTAACCCAATGAACCATTCTGAAAGTCATCATTTTAATCTTCTTCTAAATGTCAAGTAACACAAAGATCCAATGATATCCACTGCGAGCACTTCAGGTCTGCCAGGTGACACAGTATTTGAAAATGTATCAATGTGGAGAATCAAAGAACTTCGAACAACATTTGAAAATGACTGTATAAGATGTAATGCTTCTAGAATTCATCACATTAAAATTACAACAGAGGACTTTTGCCTTTACAAGAAACGTGCTGAATTTTTAAAATATTTTACTTCTAAATTCCAATTTTCAATATGTTACATTCTGGGTTCAAGATAGGTTGTATTTAAAACCATACCTGATAATTGAAAGGAGAACAAAATTTTGTAGCTAAATTAATCTTTCGCATATTCATTCATAACAGGAATTTGCTTACCGTGAAAGTCATTGGCTGATAGGACTCAATATGTCTTACTGCAATCCAAGTTCTAGTATGTGGATTTCCTAGGAATTCTGTATGATATCCTTCTACATCACCATCTTCATCATAATTCACATATTCTCCAGTATAAGGATCTGGACAAAGGATTGAAGGCCAGCTGTAAAAAGTAAAGTGAGTAATTTAAATTATTGAATTTTACAAATGCAACTAACCAAGTTCTATTCTTAGAATGCAAGAAATATTAATGGTGAAGATTAATCATATCTGTGGAACAATCAATCGTAACCAAACCCAGAATACAAAGCAAGATTGATTCAATCGCGTACAATTGTAATGTCAGTAGTCTTGATATATCAACCTAGTGACAACGATTAAGAAAAAAACAACTTCTGAAGGATGAAATTTTGCTCATCATTACATGTAGCGACATTGATGCTGATGCCTGGTTATAATAAAGAAATCTCAGTGGAGGTCAACATTGTCAATTTGAGGTCATACAATACAAAATATACCGTCTCACCCACAAAATTCAGTCACTACACTTTGCAGTATGTTCCGTGAAGCACTTTGAGATGTCTAAAAGACGTGATAAGGTGCTACATCAAATGCAAGAATTATTATTATAACACAAATTGGAATTTCAGTGCTCTGATGCCTGAGTCTCCTTCAGCCAGCTATTCAGAAGAGGAGAAATATGAGAAGCAATAAATATATACAAGAAAATATCAATGCTTCAGGCTAACAACTTGAAATCCTCTAAAATTAATGTTACAATTCCAACCTTGAGAAAGCCAAAGCAATTCCAGCTGCCGGATTCTCAACTTTGCATGATTTAATTCTTGATTTCAAAATAGGGCTCTCTTAATTTATATGTGTGACTATTCCTTTATTTAAGATGTTTTGTATGAAATAAGAATTTTTGTAAATGTTAATGTTCCTGTCACAATTATTGGACTTTATTTATGACTCGTCTTTGGAGCTTCCCCAGCTTGGCAAAGAATTTAGGTGAGTAATCTGTTCCAGTTGCTGATGAAGCTCGAGACTAGACACAAGAACAACAGTTGCTAAATTACATTTCTAAAGCGTCAATTTCGTTCATGGTTGAAGGATATCACAAAGTTCTTCATGTGAGCCCAAGCTGGGGCAGGGGCGAAGGAGTTCTGAGAAATTGGGGGAAGATGGAGACATGAAATATCTTTTCTTTTGTGGAATCCTATAGCTCAGTGGTTAGAGCACTCGCTTTGCATGTGAGAAACCTGGGCTCGATTCCCGGCAGGGTGAAACCTTGGGCAAGTTTCCTTACTCCACACTCCTAATAATAATCCCTCAAGAAAAAAATAATAAATTGGTCACTTCAAACCATGACTGTCTGTGGGACACTGCTGTGTGCAATTGGCTGCTGCATTTCGCCCACAAAAAATACAGTCAATTCACTTTACAGTCTATTCTGTGAAGCGCTTTAAGATATCTAGAAGACATGAAAAGCGCGAGATCAAATGCAAGGATTATGGTTATATTATTTTGTATAATATGCTGATGTTTGCTGAGGATACAAGGTAGGCAAGAGTAGGACTGAATGACTCAGTCTCCAATTTGGGTGGATGGGGCAGGGGGGCGAATTACAGGAATCAAAATTTGAAAGTTAATTCTTAATTCTACTTTGTGGGTGTCTTTTATGCCATTTCATTTGTGTTCAAATATTCCAAGAGAGTAAGTTTAGAAATTTACAGCAAGTGTGAGGTAGTACAACTAATCACAGCCTGACATGTGAGGGGCCTTCTGACAGCCCAGTTAACAAGATTAATGACGTACTGTCACCTACTTGCCATGCAAGAAAGTGAAGCTCCTCAAGGCAGAGGCACAGAATCATTCAACCTGACCATTAACAAGCAAATTATTTCAATCTGGCTATGCTCTGTTGCCTTCAAAAACATGCCAGCTGGTAATGTCTCCTTTATCTTGCAGATTGTTTCGCTCACAAAATACAATCAATCCAGTTTACAGTATATCCTGTGAAGCGCTATGAGACGTCTTGACATGAAAGGCTCTATATCAAATGCAAGGATTAATATTATTATTACAATTTAAGTCACTCTGTAGAGGTAACTTTTAAATGTTTTTTGGTGATGGGTCAGCCAGACCAATAACACTGCCACTTTACATATGAATGGATGTTACTTTTCTTAATAAATTTGAGCTTCCTAAAATGGCTACTTTTTGCAGGAGGTTGACATTTTGTTCACCGGGTATTTTGTAAAAGTCATTTTTAAATAGTCTTACTGGCAGTTCCAGTTGCACCAATGATTATAGGAACAATGTTTGTTTTACATTGCCACATATGTCCACATTCAATTTGTAGATCGATATATTTATTTAGTTCCTTATTTTTCACATTATAATCACATGTGATAGCCACATCAATAATACTATGTGTATAACCTATTTGATTCTTTATGATAATACCTTGTTTGTTACAGCTGATTATTATTATTGTGTCACAAGAACATACAAGAACCAAGTCAAACTCCCACACAGTAGCTCTGAACCAGTACATAATCACTGGAAGGATTTGCACATAGCCTGTGAGGTCAGAAGTACTTTATTGCATGTCAGACCACAAGACATGATAATCTTTTAAAAGCACAACATTTCGACAAATGTCATTATTGAAAAGAACAGAAAAAATGAATGTATGTAATTTGCATAAATCTGATATGTAAATGTAAACAACATACAAAATGTCTTCCACTTTGTAAAAGGTTGTTGAACTTGAAAACATGTTGCAAAGACAATACATTATTAGCTAAATGAATGCAAAAAATAATTATGCCATTACTAACATTTTATTCCACATGATTACGACATAGCCAAGTGTATAAATGTCACACAAGTTCATAGCTATGGTTCCAAAAACGGCAAAAAAACATCTAAAAAAAAACTAATGGTAGCCTTACAACAATCATTTTAGGATCACCATCACACTTGCATAATAATGTGCAGTATTACCTGTGACCAGCAGCAGTTATAATAATAACAATAATCCTTGCATTTGATATAGCACCTTATCACATCTTCAAGAAGTCTCCAAGCGCTTCACAGAATATGCTGTAAAGTGAATTGACTATATTTTGTGGGCGAAACGCGGCAGCCAATTTCACACCGCAATGTCCCATAAACAGTCATGGATTGAGTGACAAAATTATTATTGTTACTTTTTTGAAGGAATTATTACCCCCAGAAAGTGCTCCACCAATTGACTAACAACCAGGATTCTACTTATTGCTAGGTAAACAGAGGCGTGTGGAGTAAGGGAACTTGGTCAACGTTTCTCCTTGCCCAGGAATCTAACCCAATGTTTTGCCCTGCCCGAGAATCTAACCCAAGTCCTCTTGCTTGCGAGGCGAGTGGTCTAACTACTAAACTGCAGGACTCCAGTTCCTCAAACGTGAAGTTTATTTACATTCACAAACAACTGAGGGGTAATCTTTCAAGTACTGCCACCTATCTGTTTAAGTATTTATATATTTATGAACTGGTTATAAGTCAAACTGAAGAAGCGCACCCGGTATGTGTAGGAGTCTTATTTGTATTCATTGCCAGCTTCAGGTTGTAGCTTGTATTGAAGAAGGTCGGAAACAGTCGTTTGCGTGGACTTGGGTCAAGAATGCAGTAATGTACACTTCAGCTTCCTCCATGCGGCTGAGGAATGCGCTGACTGCTCCCCTGTATCTTCAACAGAGGCCCATCCATTTTGAGTGCTGTTGTTGAACGCAGCTGTTTGCCTCTGATTGTTGGGTCCTGCTGTTGTGAGCACTACCAGATGGCACAGAGATAGTTAGGTAAAAGGAAATCATTTCAACTTCCAGCTGCCAGGAGTCTGGCAGTTGGGAAGTATTGACTCAGCAACGGTGAAGAAGTTCCCTGAAGAAAGTGGATACCAACAGATTCCTCATCTTCTTCATCAATCGGGTGTTGAGGATATTCAATGCTTCCACAGGTCCAACACATAATAAAAAACAAATTGAATCACTATGTACCTCTTAGAAGCTAAATAACTTCACACATCTTGAATATCCTTTGTATTGATTCTAGCAGGAAAGCCACGAGATCCAGGAAAGGATTTGACACGTTTGCTGTTGAGGCATTTTAAAGACCTGCTTCTATCAAAGCAAATTTTCTACTACCGGAGTTTTCAGAGGAGCTGATGTTTTCTCAAACAAATCTTTAAAATCTCTTCTTTTGCAAACTAGGATTATTATTATAAAGGCAGAAGCTGGCCAGCAAATGTGAACTTGTAACCTGCATATGTTGTAAATTAGATTTTTATTGTTCAGAGAAAGACTGTTATCAATAAGGGAATATACTAGTAGTTCAAACTCTTACTTTTGCACCAATGGCTTCTCAGGGTCAAGAATAGATTGGTTCAGTGCTCTGAAACATCCTACTTGAAGGGCACTATATAAATGCAAGCTGTTGTTGTTGAAGGTGTTATTGAATAGAAGTAGACAGTCTCTCAAAGCTAACTGCAGAGGTAGATTAGATAAGGTGGACACACTAACTTTGATGTAAGTGACAGACAATTAGGGCTGGAGGAAGTAATAGCTGAAAACACTGAAATATACCCCATCCTACCTGCTGTCCAACCTATCTTAGAATTATACAGCACAAAAGGAGGCCATTTGGCCCATCGTGTCTGTGCCGACTCTTTGAAAAGAGCTATCCAAATTAATCAGTCATGTCGGTCCATTCTGTAGCAGAATGTAGTGAGTTTAGATCAAGAAAGATTAACCATAAATCAGCACTAGTGTTCAACGGAAATAACAAAATAAACAAACAAACTGATGGTGATTTATTAATGAGAGCCAACTAAAAGTTTCACATTTTTATGTTGATTTATTAAAGTAAAAAAAACTAAAAAAAAGTTATTATGATTTTAAAACTTGTACTTTATTTTACTTTCTAATTTCCATTACTGATGCCATAATCTTTATGAAGGAATTTCAGGCCCATACTTTCTCTCAATAGAGGAAAATACTCACACAGCATCAAGCCACTTTTTCTTTAAGATAAAGTGGAAGAATTAAAGTCAACTGAAGGTGCACAAGGAACAGTAGGCTTGCAATGGAATTCACAACAACAACCAAGTTACATTTGTAA